TCCTACCACCCAGAACTCACACTAACCATTTTTATGTATACTTTCTTCTAGCATGTTATTATTGACAATTGTTTGCTTTGTTTTAGAATGGTGAGTTGGAGAACAAAACTTCAAACCCATCTAATACTTAACAGTTGTGGGATATTATGCAGGTTTATTTTCCTCCCAAAGCTCAGTTTCCTTACCTGCAAAATGCAGGTAATGAACCAATTTTGTATGGTTATGGTGAGATTTAATAAGATCAGATACGTAGAAATACTTTGCATAATATGCCTGATATGTATCAAGGGCTGAAGATACCATTTCTATTGTTAGCATTATCAAATAACTTTGCAACTTATTTTTAACTTGACATTAAATTGTATTTTCCTGTGTCACTAAATCTTCTCAAAACACTAATTAATGATGTAATACTTTTGCCAGTAGTAACTGCTCCCTTAGACTCAGACTGTTTTGAATTTTACAGTATTAATAGTCATTATTTGTTCAGCTAAATGTTCTATATATTACATTAGTTTGCTTAATCCTCAAAACAACCTCACCCTTGGAGATTTCCTTACTTTCTGTGATGCGAAATTATGTTTCATGTAAGATCTAGCTGATTTACAGCAGTAGGGTCCTGGCCCCTAGAATCATGCTGCTTGGGAGTAGAAGTTGCGATCAGTTTATTTTAGTATCATCTTGATTTGAAAGCAAAAATGATCCATTAAAAATGACAACAGTTGTTTCACAATGTTACATACTTAATACTAAAGACAACATAGTTAATAATACTGTATTAAATATTTGAAAGTTGCTAAGAGAGATCTTAAATGTTCTCACCACAAAAAAGAAATGGTAATTAAGTGATGTGACCAAGGTATTAGGCAAAGCTGTCGTGGTAATCATTTTGCAATACTAAGTGTATCAAATGAACATGTTGCACACTTTAAACTCACATGATGTTACTACATGTCAATTATACCCTAAAAGGCTGGAAATGAATGGTATCTAAGATGCTAAATTTTATGGTATGTTTTTACCACAATTAAAAAAATCATTAAGAAAAAATTGACAACAGGACAAAAATGGATCAGACTGTTGATGACTAATGTGCCTAGATGCCACGAAACAGTTTCTTGATAATAGACACAATTTAAAACTCAATTTAAAGCCAAGCAAAGGGAAATTTATTTACCTTCATGTGAAAGAGAATGTTAACTTTAATAGAAAAAGGTTAAAGATTTTTTAAATCAGGATTTCTTATATTTTCTAAAATGACATGACTTTCAAAGATAATAAAATTTTTTAATTCTAAAAAAAACTGAAATATATCTCTAAATCCTCAAGTTTACATAATACCACTTACACTTGGGTCTCTATAATTACAATGTTAGATTCAAATTAATCAGTTCTTAGGAGACTTACCTTATTAGCTTCTATTGTCACTATTCGATTAAGAAATTTCATCATAATTGTTGGTGCCACAGGGTTGAAACTGTCAAAGTTTTATGAAGAAAGACAGTGGTTAGGTAATTACTTTAAAAATAGACTGTGTATATGGACACTATAAGCAGAAATTTCATTCTTACCTAATGTTTGATATAGCACACTCTTCTTGAATTTCTCTGGGAAACAGTAACCTTTGATTATTATCTCCACTGAGACTGTCCGAGATGATAAATATTAGAGGACATCGACCAATCTGCACATACTTCCTAAAACAACAAAATACAGCAATGTTGAAATTAAAGCCACCTGCTATTTAATTTGAAATTTTAGAAAACCTCACTGAAACTCACCTTAGAACTTCATGTAAAGCTTGAGAGTCTCGATAAAACTGGTTAGGTAAATCCTATTGAAAACACATGATAAATATTAATTCAGCTTTATTTCCATAAAAATTTATTTTTAGATTTATAATTACCAAGAGAGAAAAAATGTTACCTATTCAATGTATTGTACCCAGAACTTTCATAGAAATTAAGGGAAACAAGAAACAGCTGATATCCTCAACAGTAATATGCATCAAAGGGAGACCCAATTTTCAGATCAGATTTCTTAGGGTCACTACTGGTTTTTGTATTTTCACTAAGATGTCCTTTTCCAAACATTTCTTCTGCTTTGTACATTTAAGCCATTACATTTTTAAAGTTCAGTAACCTTTAGTAATTCAAGTTTACTGAAAAATAATTTAGGTTTCTGTTATAACAGTTTTATGTTATAATTTACCACTATAAGGAATATAATGTTAATGTCACCATCACATAAGATGTATCTTGCAATTGTTTAATTAGTAGTTATAGCAGGATTTCAAAAGTTGTCCTTACTTCAACCAGAATTATCTTCTTATCAGTTCTCAGATCATCTCCAAACATTTGTAGTTTGTTATATTTTGTTGCTCTTAGTAGAAACTCTTTAAAACCTGCTATCTGAGACTGATAGGGAAATATGTGGAAGCTTGATTCTGAAAGGAAACATATTTAACACTTTTATTTCAACAAATTACAGAAGCATCAAATCTGTTGTTTTCTAAACAAAAATGTTATATTATACATATTACATGAATGTAATTAATATTATATTAATGAATCATTTACATATACATGGAAGAACTCAATACCATAGACTCTAATTAGGCAAAACTGTTCACATTTAAAATATGATATTCATTTCAAAGGACAAAAGTTATCATGGATTACAGTAATTTTCTATACCAATGATGTAACATGGAGTTACTTGACTTTGGAAAACAGCTATGAGTATAACATTCATATAATTGGTAAAACTACTTATGCCTGAAGACTCACCAAATGAGGCATGACTAAAAACAAATTATTTTCAATAGTAATGTTTAACAACAAAACCAGAATAACTAATTAGTGAACTTGGGAATAAGGGAAGTTCTCTTTAGACATGTTTTATGTAAAAGATAGTTTATAAATAGACCTGCTGGACTGTCTAAAGTAATGTTACTGTTTAGAAAGCAGTAAAATTCCAGAAGCATGGTATACAAGCAGCATAAGAGTATGCATACTAAAGATACAGTAAGTCCAGAGCATATTAAAGATCCCAAAGAAGGGATTCTGAGGAATTTTTCACATTAAAATAAACTGTTCTACAGACACCCTTTCATTTCAAAGTAGCCTAGGAGTTTTGGCTATCCCTACTTCACTTTACTTATAACAGCAATTAGAAAAAAAGAGGAAAATTAAAAATGACCATGCTGAAAAGATGGTAGCAGGAGAGGTGAGACAAAG